GGGCTAGATAATTGCAGGGTGCTACTTGTTCCTTTCTCTTTCAGTCAACCTTGCTGCGATGCAGTGAGCAGTACTCCTGTCTTTCTCTGTCACCAAGCCAGGATACAAGTAATGAATTCCAGGAAAAATATGTGCTCTGAAATGAGCAGTGGTGAGAGGCAGTGCACTGTGGAATGGAGTTTCACAATGATATATTAAAAAAAAGAGAGATCAAAAGTAAACTGCCTTTTTATTTTATATTACTGAGACTCTCTGCTAAGTTTATATTTGTTAAAAAGAAAACACACTACTTAAATAACTCGATTAAAATGGAGCTAGGAAGTAAGAACTGGAAGAAAATGACTGTATTAAAGATCTTTGTCTTCCTAGGAAATACAAAAGTATCAAATTCAAAATATTACACTATCATCTCTTAGGAAGATCACTTAAACTATCTATGACCTGTTATTTGTCAGTCACTGGAAGGCACTCAAAAGACACTAGTGCTTTTCCCTTGCAGAACTGTGATGTACCCCACAGCCTACACTAACTGACAAGGTACCTCAATGACAAGCTTTTCATGGTGCCAGAGAAACAAAATTCAGCAAATGTCCATTTCTTTATTAGTTTTAAGATGAAAAGCAATAAATGAAAGCAATATCCCTAATATGACAAATGATGAAAGAGCAGTTCTGGGGCAGAGACAGTTAAACAAAACCCGTGACCTCAGGATGCTCCTCTGGAGAGCGGAGGGCAGGGACAGCAACAGGACTGTATGCACCAGCTGCTGAATAAAATCCAGATGTGCTGTCAGTGCCAGAAACTAAGCCTCATCTCAGCTGCAGGCATCAAAATCAGATCCGAATATAACTCCCCATGTCTGAAAAGATCTGAAATAATGATGTAAGCTATAAAGAACACTTGAAAACTATAGAAGCAGCTATGCAAAACTCCTTTGGTGCTTGTACTAGAGGATATACTGAAAACTCAACCAGTACTACCAAGGGCACAAAGGGAAGAGTTACCAAACAGTAATGAGTCATGAGTCCCTGCAGCAGAAATGGCCTCACCACAGCACCTGTGGCTGAGTACGGAGACCTAAAGTCTACTTACCACACTTCAAGACAGATTCTTACCCGGGTTGAATTTTGCATTATGACAAACAGATAGCTAATCAAATGTTACTGTCTTCTATACCAGAAGTATGTCACAGAGTCAGTTACATTGAAAACGTGCTTTATGTGTATAGCTTGGTGTATACCTGTTTGCAGAATCAGGCCTTCCATTTGCAGATAGGCATTTTCCTTTTCATTATAGAGTTAACATTATGGATGTTAACACTGCTATGGCTCAAAAGAAAGAACTGTAAATGTGACTGCTGTAATCAGGGTTTTTTTGTGGGTCTTTTTTTCTGGAAAGAAGAATACCCTAATTATCTGAATCATGGCTACTGAAACAAATTGCAGCATTGTATGTATATGAAATAAATACTTTTAAAAGCTTAAAAGCAACAAAAGATATAGACCAGTGTGAAACTAATGACTAAAATTTTCAAGCTATTTGAAGAAAGTTGCTGGCAGGATCGTAGGTGGTCTACACAAGACTCCCACACTCCAGTCTTTCCAGACATGATTTTGCTTGATTAATTAGAGAAACTAGGGAGAGGTGATACTTTTGCAGTGACTGATGTTTTCTTATAATTAAATCAATTGGGTATATCTCCCATAAAGCATTAGGTCATGAAATGTTCATAAAACGCCAACCTAAGTGTCATCTGGAAAATTACAAATTTAATATTTAGATGGATGTCTTTGGTAAAAATATAAACAGTGGGCTCTTTAATTTCATAGAAATATAGTATCGTAAATTTAGTCTGAGCATCATATATTAAAATAATGCTATGCAAACAGGCATGACAGTTAAATAAGGTATTAGAATAAGACTGTTTAAATGAATAAGTAATATTTTAAAATGTCAGTCAACACACCATGAAAAAAGAAGCTCAATTTAATTAGGTTGGTCATTTGTGGCTTAGGTAGGAAAAGGATTAGCATATAGAGTAAGTTAAGGCTGCCCAAAGCTTTGTGTGGGTTTTACACAGGTATTCATGTTCATCTCAACAAAAGAATTAGTGTAACAAATGCTGGCTTACATGGTGCTTTGCTGCTTATGGCACAAGAGAGCTTCTCAAGAAACTTGCTGTGTTGCCATGTAAAGGCCAGGCACAGTTTATGGAGAATTGGGGAAAAAAAAAACATCTTAAAAAAATGGCTTTGCTGACGAATCTGTAGTATGGTGGTAAAGAGAAGCTTTTTTATAGCTTGCTTATGTCAACTTTATTTTGACTAATTTCTCTATAAAAGGAAAATAATTGTAGTACCAGTACAGAAGATGTCTGTCAGCAATCACTGGCATTGTCCAGTGGGATTGGAGGGGCAAGATAGAGGGTTTGGGTTAATATACGAACTTACATGATTTTTTTTCAATGTGCACACAAGTCAAATGATTGACAGTAACATTTTCAGCCTGACATAACTTGCCTACTGTAGACTGCAGTGCATTGAAGAAAGCAGAGTAGATACAACACACTTGCTGGGAGGACCACACTTCTGCCTAGCCTTAATGCAGAGAGGTCTCTACATAGTAGTAAAAAATAAATGGGGCTTAGTACATATGTCAGGCTTCCCCAGCTGGAATTATTTTCTGTTTCTCTGGAATATGGACCAGAAAGTGAGAAGAAAAGAGGTCACAAGGGCCAGGCACATGCCAAATTTGCACTTAATCTTCATAACCACAGGACTGAGGTAGATGGTATGTATTTGTAAAACAAACTGACAGTTGCATAGCACATTCACAGCAATAAGTGTGCTCATATTGCAAATATTGCACTTTCAAAGTCCTGAGGACTGCCAGCCCAAACTGCTGGAACAGCACACTCGCTGTTCTCAACTACTCCACTTGAATTTGAGAGGAAAAGAATAATAACAGGTTTTCTTTGTTTTGGGGAGAAAGTAACAAGAACCTTAAGTGTAAATTATTTTCATACACAAGCATTATTTAAAAACTAAAACTGACAAAAATTATCATTCAATAGTCTCTAAAAGATATTTGTACTTTATGCTGAAGTACCTTCTCAAATCTTCTGAAAGCTGGGATTTTTTGAATCAATCTTGAAAACTGTGAATGCTCCCACTATGAGTTTCCAGACACTTTCTTTTCATATCCACTGTAAAATATGCTAACAGAAAAAAAGAAGCAGCTGCACTCTGCTCTTTCAATGGAAATTATCAGCTTGTGTATATTTCTTGTGTTATTGACCCTGTATTTGCCAAAAGAATGCAGGCCCATATACATTCCAGACAATCAGATACAGAAAGTGTATTTAGAAATACTGGAAACTTTAGAAACTTTAGAAATACCGGAACTTTATATAATATGGTTTTTATCATGAAGTTATGAGGAATTCTTGGGAGACAATAGAGAGATTTTTTTTTTAAGTCTCCCAAATGACAAACACTATTTAGCAAGTACTGTAAAAACTGAAAAATTTGGAAATTTATTTAAGTCTACTTAATACAAGGAACATAATGATTCCAAACCAAATGGCACAGGTGTGGAAGTCATCATTTCCAAAAGTGGGCATACTGAAGGAAGCCACTGAGTCTAGCAAAGGACACATGTTGTATGCTGTCAATGCAACACACAAGGTTCAAACTCATCTAGTGGTAACAGCAATGTCTTTCAGCAGCACTGACTGCTTGTATTCAAGCTGAATACAATGTTGTTTGTGTTTTTATCCATCCTGAATATTATACCATTGGAAATGTACATTAATGGCTACTTCTCTTGTATCTTGATTTATACGTGATTCAAGCCTATATGAATCACCAATATTTAAATGCAACTTTTGGGACAAAACAAATCCCCTTAGATGTGTTCATTTGGAACGCCACAAAACGCAACACTTCCAAGCCTCTGAAATAAATCAGAGAGAGTCAGGCAATTCAGGAACAGCACGCAGAGCTTGAGGGGGTTTGTTGTTGTAGCTTTTTGAATTAGGTGTGTATAAGCATTGCTACAGTTTATTCTTCTCAGTGAGAATATAGGAGCTGGGTTTTTAAAGGATCTCCCTGTGATATTATGTGTAAAGACACTGAAGCATTGGGCTACATGAAGAACATGAAGCTGAAATTAACTACTTTAAACCACAGTGAAAGACAAATTTAAACACTTAAACATGTGCCAAATATGAAAGCCTCTCCCCAGTCTACAGCATGGTAAGGCTCAGTCTCCTGCAAAACTTAAGCCCCTCACATAACAAACCTGGTTGACAAACACTGTGATTTATGAGAGAGGAAGAGCTCATTCCCCAGTAGCACAACCAGTGAAATTCAGCAGCACTTACACAAAAAAACTCTCCAAAACTTTACACTACTGCACATTCAAGTCAACAACACTCTCCTATTTTAGGGTGCAAACCAAGCTTGACAGATCTCCTACTAACTTTCTGTCCTGGCACAATAACTTTCTTTTGACTTCACATGCGGCAGCTAGGCTGGAGAGATTAATATTCTCAGCTGCACAGCCACTTAATCCCTTCTTGTCTCATTCCATAACGGTCACAATCAAGACCTGAATTCAGGTCTTTCTGTGGCCTTAACAGCTGCTCCAAGCTTTGTATAAGCATCTAAAATTCCAACTCTTCAGCATGCATGTAGTTGTATACATTGCGGATACTACCAGGTTAATCATTAGTCCTTAAAATATAAATCTAAGGATGTCTTTACAGGATCGGAGCTCTAGTCTGCAATGTATTCCTTGCGTGTGCTGCAAATAATGGAGATAAGTGAGTGAAATGTTCACAAACCTTTGAATTACTCTTCTCAGTTATAAACAGCAAGAAAAAAATTAAATAGAAATACATATATACATAGCCACATGTATGCAAATAGATAAAACTAGAGATATCATTTCCATATACTCCAAAACCTTGAAACAAACAAACAAACAAAAAAGCTTACCCTTGCCAATGTCAGTGTTCCCTGTTTACACACACTGCAGCGGACCCTCAGTTTCCCAGGTTTCACAGCTTGGCAGAAATTTTTGCAAAAAACATAAAAACTGTTGTAACTAGCTGCACCTGCCAGAAAAACAAAACAAAACAAAACAAAACAAACAATAACATTTGATGTATACTGAAAATAAGTAACAAACTGTAATGAAAGGCTTCTATCTGACTTTATAAGTGATAAGTAGAAAAAAATAGGTCTTTTCTTGCCTAGTCTAGTTCTTAACACTTTTCAGTAACTCCTGCTTCTTGATCAATAGTTATAGGTGAACTGCACTGTAACTCCTAGAAAATGCATCCTATCTTGAGTTTGAGCTTACCACTGATGAGCATCAACTGTAATCTTTGGCAAGTGATGTATGAGATTAATTACCCCATCTCTCCATAATTTGCATCTCACTCCTAGTCTAAATTTGTCTAGCTGCAAGTTTTAGTGAGTTCAAATTGCACGAATATTTCCTTGGATGAAGTTTAAAAGATTAGTTTGACTGATACCACAGCACGAAAACAAATATTTAATTTAGAAAATTTAGTTTTATTCATGGAAGACTGGGAACCATTTCTTTATTCTTGCTGGCAGTGGTATAACCTAGCAAAGTTTGTAAACTGCTGCCAAGATATTAGGCCAAGTAAATTTTCAAGGAAAATTAAATGAAACACATTCTGTTCTGTGAAACTATGGAACAGAAGATGATAGGCAGAGAATTGTGTAAGCCTGGGGCAATGCTACAGAATTTGATTTCACATGCAATCCTCATCACTGTTTTCAGTAAATGCCTTTTTAGGATGGCTATAGTTATCCCTTAGAAAATGATGGAAAATTCATAGTGTGGTTTTAATCTAGACAGACATCTCCAAGTTCAGAGACTCAAGCTTATTATCAGACGTTGAACTGAGACCAGGATAATGTTTTTAACAGATTTTTCCCAATATCAAGAGGAATGGTTGTGGAGATTTGACCCATTAACAGTGGTGAACTTCAGAACCAATAGCACTCCCTTAGAGATCAAAAGTTTTTCACTGTCTTCTTCCCCATTCTCCTACTTCTCCCTACATTTCCCAGCAATATACTTTTTATGTATGTGCATGATCTGGAATAATATTTTTAAACATTACTGACTTGCTTTATTTTTACATGTCCTTCATATGGTAAGGGTCAAACCCTATGTTCTGCCAATGAAAATGCCTACCAGTTTCATGTTACACCTATTTACAGGTGTCCTAACATAAATGTGCAACTAGTTTCCACAACTCAACTTCAGAGAATTGTCATCCAAAAAACTTTTTTTCTAAGAAATGTAGATGTCTTCAAAGATGTACACTGCTGAAAGAATAAATTTTATAGCACTTTTTCAAGTTTTCAGAATCGTAAGCTACATAAGAGTACATCAGTGATGTATCCAATATTAATTTCAGTCAACTGATCTATCAAGTGTTTTCATTATGTGTCCTTAGGGAATATTAATCACCACAGCAGAACAAAAAGCATAGCAGAACTTAAATGGAATTCAGTTTTTATGGAGAATTAACACACATCCGTACATTCATAGACATACGAACTTTTCATATGAATAATTGCAACTCAAAAGGTTGAGAGCACACTTCTCAAATCAGTGTAAAACACAGTTCTGAGATTAAAATAGTTCAACTAAAAAAAAAAAAAAAGGCTTATGCTGAACTATTTGATACATAGTACAATGTTGAGAGGTGAATCCAAACTAAATATGACAAAATCTTGGACATTTGGATCTCTATCCACTCATAGTTTGCCTGAAGCTCCTAGCACCAGGACTGAGAGCACATCTGGATTAGACTCGATTTGAGCTAGAATCCACAACAAAAATCTAAACTATGGTAACGAGGAGGACTACACTTGCACATGATTGAATTTTACTTTTGGCAGTTCCTCTATGCAGGATCAGCAGGTCAATCAATAAAACAAAAGGGCAATACCTTTAGCACAGTTCAAAGGAAATAGTACAAAACTTAAGTAAACAAGAATGCTATTGCTAATAGAGGCCCACAACAAACAAGATGATTTCAGCCACTTATTCCTGACTCGGTCTCAAGTGTGGGAAGTGAGACCAGAGCCCTTTACCTATTTTGGTATCACCAGTCCTCTCCCATCGCTCTGATTTCTTATATGGGCAGTCTAATGAGACTAATGAGACTGCTGTTTCTATTCACATGTAGAAGCACTTATCCTGAGTAGCTGTGATGCCACTACTCACTGTCCTAAGTCAGTCCTACTCTACAGAAGGATTCCTGCCATGACTCTACTGAAACCCTTCCAGTCAAACAGAACCATCTCACTGAGTACATGAGCCCTTACAGAATAAAATAGTTTGTAAATTGGGCTGATGCCTTTCCTGATCCAGTTCTCCACTCCCTGATGTCGTGTCCCTGTCTCACATTTTATACCAAGTTTATTTCAAGTAGTAAACTACTTGAGGCAGGAATCGTGCTTTCTGCCTGCATTGTGTTCTAAGCTCATTCCATCCGGACCCAAAGATAAAATTATATTATTGATAATACTCCGCAAAATATTCACAGGATAGTATGGCATAAATCAGCATGACTGAATACTGCAGTAAAAAATAGCAGTCATAGGAGAGGCCTAAAATGAGACATATTGCTGATTTACTACAGAGGATAAATCTTATGCATTAGCTTGATATTTACTCCGTGCAAAAATAGACTACGTTAGCTCAATATTCATTTTTCTTAGCACTTTCTTTTTTTTTTCCTTTTTCATGAATATAAAAAGTACCCCCAAACGCATCCCCTATGCACAAATTTGAAACACAAGAAACAAATTTATAATATAATGAGTTGGAGCAGTTATGCAGCACAGATCTATTCAGAGACTCAGAATAACTTTTGAAATGTCTGCTATAGCAAGGCTGCTGGAAAGGCACAACACAAGAGGAATGTTCTGATTTTAGGAGGAAAGTGTAAATGGAAATTTTCAGCAATCCATTCACCATTTTATGCAGATGTGCTGATCTTAGTCTCACAAAGTGCACTTACATCATTAGGTGTATGTCCTGAGCAGCATCACCAGGAGTAGCAAAGACTGAATTAAAAATGCAAATGCCAAAAGTCAGCATACAGCGCAATACTGCTGGCCAGCATTAAACTCTTTACTGACTTGTTAATGTCACTGTGTATTTTAGCATGGCCCTTGGCTGAGACTGCATCCCCTTGAACCCCTTTTCAGAGGGGAACTGAAAGAAACAGGAACAAAGAAATCTGCTTTATGCACCACGTGTGACGTAGCAATATTAATAAGAATTGCAATTATGGCACCATGCCAGTAATCACTAAAATTGCTGCAGCACCAACCTTAGAACCTCATCTTTCCTCATTCAATCATGGTCTATAAGTTTTCATAAAGCTTTCCATTAATAATTTATAATACTGGCACTCAGCAAGAATGTGCAGACACAGCAAATTACAAGTTAAAAAAAATGGAAGTCCCTTTATAAATGCTGATTCTGATACTGAACATGACCATTAACACCATAAACAAATAAATTAAATTATAACTACTAGTCTTCTTTGCAGTTACATACATTGGTGGGTGGAGGAAGACTGAGGGAAAAACAAATGTGCTGCATCTGCAGTTATTCTCTTCTGAGAAGGTAAAGTCACAGCAATCTCAATTTTCAGGTCCATATTCCAAATACTTAATTGTGGGGCAAGGATCCCATAATAGTCTCTTTTGATGATCAACGATTCATCCATTAGTCTGGACACTCTTTTCTAGCTTTCCCACACCAGCTGGTACATCAGCATGTCTTTTGAGAAGCCGTTTACTTTGAGTCTCTACCATTACATTACTCTTATCCTTAAAGATGGTGCAACAAGGATCTGTCATTTTGTTGACAAGTATTTTACTTTCATTTACTGCAAACTAAAAAAGATGCCACCAGAAAGTTGACCTTACAAACCTGAATTTCTTATAGGTCCAAAAGCATTTTTCAGCACATGATCATAGGCTAACTTTTTAAGAAGCCATCTCCAGTAGGTCAAGCTTCAGATAAATCTGACTTGGAAGCACAGAAATAAAAAAAGTCTTTCATTTTATTCACATGTGATAAATTAGCAGCCAGATGAATCATTTCCATCTGCATTGGTGAATTCCTCTCATAACTTGTTTCGGCATAGTAAAACTCATTTAATACACAATTGCCTGGCTATACTGGTCTACCTTAACTGCCCTTTGCATTTGATAAGAACACTTACAGGACTGAATCTTTCAGGAAAACTAAGGGAATGTCTCCTGTCCGGAGTCCCAAGAAATGCCTCTCCCATTTGCAGTCATAGAGAATTCACAGTCATCTGTTCTAGTACTTCAATATCTTTATTTTTAAGAAGATATTCCTTATTTTTAGCTTTAATTTTCTGTGCTCAAATTTAACAATTATATCCTCTACTTTTCACCAAAGATATGGAAACCAATTTATTTTCTTTCTCTTTGCAGCAGGTTTTTGTATTGGTTTTTTATTTCATGGGCTAGCTAACCCCAATTCCTTTCTTATACGTAATACTCTCTAGAGTTCAAAGTATTTCTCTTAGACTTTTCTTTAAATAGTGTTAGGTGCAGCTCCCTAAACTTGTCATAATTTTCCAGCTGAAGTCTTTCTAATGCTGAGTACAGTAGGGTTCTTTTTCTATTTTCTTTTAAGACATCTTGAAGGTTATACTTCTCGTTATCTGTTCCTGTATAATATTTTGTTTAACATTATTGGCATAACTTAATTGGTTCCTGTTCAGTCTATGATCTAAAATGAACCTTCAAACCCTTATCTACTTCACCCGTTGTAACCCATTCTGTATTTGTGTTGCTGAATATTGCCAGCCAAGTGCAATACCCTGTGCTGGCCCCTTCTGACCAGCGTGGCGTTCTTTTCCAGACTATATTTCCAATTTGTCATGATCATTTTATATTCTCAAGCTGTCCTCTAGTTTATCTGCAGTTCCTCCTAGCTTGGTGATGCCTACACATTTAATAAGTACTGTGTCTATTCCATCCTCCAGGTCATTAATGAGAATATTGATTA